ATTCCACATAAACTAGTCTATGAGGGAGATTTCATTTTAACATATCACATTAATATATGCAATACCTGGCTAACGTTTATTTATTTAGTGCCAGTATTGATGCCTGGACACTGTCCCTTAGCATTTTCACTCAAAACTGGTGCTCTACCAGTTGAGCCACAGCTCCACTTCTGGCTTAATTGGAAACAAGAATCTCATGGACTTTCCTGCCCAGGCTAGCTTCAAACTATGATCCTCAGATCTCAGCCCCAGATAGCTAAGATTATAGGCGTGAGCCACCAGCACTCAGCCCCAGCCTCACTTTTTAAAAAATTTCTTTTAAAGTTACTTTGCTATTATTATAGAGGTGATATACAGAGGGATTACAGTTACGTGAGTGAGGAGTACATTTCCCCTTGCGCAGTGTTTGCTGTTCTGCTGTTCCATCACTTTCCCCCTGTCCCTCCCTCCTATCTTGCTCATCAGTGTCCAGTGAGCTCCGCTGTATGTCCAAGGCATTGCGATAATTAAAATATAGCGGGGGCTGTGAAGGTGAAGGAATTGGCGCACTTGGAGGTGTCAGAATTGTGAAGTCAATTGAAGGGGTGATTTATGAATCAGGCCTCCCAGGCTACCAAGCTATTGGGGCTCACTGAGTGAGTGGGAGGTTGAAACATTTTTTTTCTTATTTTTAAATTACTTTTGGCATATGTGCATGGAACAAAAATGAGCTTCATTGTGACATGTTCACATATGTCCAGTGCATATAGGACATTAAACATATCGAAAACACTTTCTATACGGTGTTTGCAGGAGTGGAATACTTGATTTGTTACAGTGGGAGGTGCAATGTGAGTTCAGAGGTATTTGACAGTTTTGGATTGGTCACATCTCTGGAGAGTTGGTGGTGTTTTCTGATTGGTCAAGTCTCCAGTTAGAGGATAGCTGGTGGTTTCTGATTGGCTGATGATGATTTGACCGTGCTGGTTTGGGTTTGCTTTCTGGTGACCCAAGTGCAGCAGCAAGCCCAGGGACAGGCTTCTCTGTGACCCTGCCCTGTCCAGGGCTTAGGCTGCTGGTTTGGTTGGTAGAGAACCCGCATTGGCCCTGTGGTTTCCAGCAGCCCCAGAAGATACCCCAGTGCCGCACTGGAGAAGTTCAAACCTCTCCATCCTTCCATGGAGATAACCACTGTCCTGAATAACTCTTGATGACCATGGGGTTCATTTGTTTATCTGTGGGAGGGTTGTTTGGGTTTTTTTTCTTCTGATTTTTATTCTTTTTTTTTTTTTGTAAGTCACCCTCCTTAGGACATTTGGTTTTTCTTAGATTCAGAAACCTCCCCTCAGAGCTGTGTGCTTCTTTTTCCCCGAGGCTTTGCAATCAGGAGTTGTATATCTTCAACCCAGGAAACCTATTAGAAACACTATTGGAAAGTGTCGGACACATTTTTATGTGATGTCTATGCTTGCAAATGCAAACAGAACATTGATGCCACAGGTGATCCTGGCCATGGATGCCCCAGGGTCATCTGACCCCTGGATGCTGGTGGCTGAGCTCCACCATTTCACCTGCCCGGTGTTCTAGGCCTAGGACAGGTTGCAACTTCCCTAGGGAATAAAAACAACTTTGGGAGATGTGAGCCTTGGTTCTTCCCATGGAAAGGAGAGAATATAAAATAGTAAAGTTGTAACATTAACAGAGAACACAGTGTCAAATTGAATGTTACACTTCATCTCATTAGCTGGAAATAGAATCTTTTTGTAGCACCCTGGGAACTGCCTATTTTGTATCCTTTTGCTGTATTCAGGACAGAAAATGGATTTGTGACACAGTAGCTGAATAAAACATTAGTTGGTCCAAGTGCTTCATAGTTTCTCTTAACGATAGTATCTCTCAAGGGATTTTCAGATCAAGGTTGGATGCTTTCCTTTCTCACAAGCCTAGCAGTAGCAGGTGTCTCCCTCTGCTCTATGGAAAAGTGACTGCGAATGAGGCAGTTTATGGAGAGCTTATGAATACTGGTGCATCTAGCAGAGGAAGGCTGGGCCACAGCACTGCACTGTGTGGGTCTCTGGATGTCTGTGTCCACCTTCCTTCCTGTCTGGAACGGTCCCACATTTACCACTACAGACTAGAGAAAACTCAGACAAAGATGGGCCCCAGAGCCTCTTGCCCGGCCTTCGTGCTGGAACTTCTCCAGCCTCCCTCAGAGCACAGGCTGGATCAGAAGTCTTGGTAGTGACAAGACCCACATGAGCCAAAGCTAGTCCCCAAAGCAGAAGCAGACTCCAGCTGCAGAGCCTGAGAAAAGCAGAGTAATGTGTCCAGAATCTCATACTGATTAAATCCAGACTGATGATCAGCAGAGTTTCTAGAAAGAACCAGACAGGCAGACTGTAAACTTTGTGCCAGAGTATTTATAATGAAAGAAAATAAGTTGGGTACAAAGTGACACTTGCCTGTAATCTCCTGTGCTTGTGAAGATCAGGAAGAGAAGCAAGAGAAGGGGGATGTCAGGACAGGAAGAGCAGCAGGAGACGTGGGATGTTAGGGACAGGAGAAGTAGAAAACACCATGAGCAGAGTGAGAGACATATATAGTTGCCCACCAGTCTGTTCTGTTATCTAGAATTTTGCCTTGAGCGTAGGAGAAGTTGATGAAAATCTGCTGTCCTTGCTTTGTGTTTCTTAGAACCCAAAGTATCCTCATATAGAAACAGCTTTTCCTCAGTTGCTTTGAAACCTTAGATAACCATTTCTCAAAACTCTGTGACAGATTTCTGTTAGATTTCTCTAGTTAGACTTTTAGTGCCTATTCAAAATATTGTAATCTTCCTAATGTCTTCTTTTTGCCTCTTCCTTCTTAGTATCCCATGTTGAATGTAGGGTGGATTTTGCCCAAATCTCACAGGACCTGGGATCAGTTGGTCCTCTGAGTATTCATGTCTCATATCGGAATTCAAGTCATGTAGTGAAAATATGCAGAGAAAAATTACATTTGTACTGAATGGGGAAACTTTTGTTGTTGTTGTTGTTGTGGGGCTTGAACTCTGGGCTTGGGCACCGTCCCTGCATTCTTCAGCTCAAGGCGTGCACTCTACTGCTTGAGCCACAGTGCCACTTCCAGTTTTCTAGTGGTTTTTATTGGAGATAAGAGTCTCACGGACTTTCCTGCCTGGGCTGGCTTTGAACCGAGATCCTCAGATCTCAGCCTTCTGAATAGCTAGGATTATAGGCGTGAGCCACCAGTGCCTGGCTGAATGAGGAAACTTTTATCTGATCATACCCATAATAATAGCTCGCCTAACATCTGCCAGGTCCTGGGTTCTGTTCCAGAACCCGAAAATAACAAAACAAAACAAAAAATGTCATGGAGAATGGCCAGCATCGTATCACTGTCAGCCTGCTGTTACTTTGAAGCATAGGGCTGGTACTTAGACTGGGTATGGTGGCTTGTGGCTGTAATCCTAGCTACTAATGAACTAGACATCAAGAGGAACTGGGTTCAAAACTAGCTCTAAAAAAAAGTTTACAAGATTACATCTCATCCAGTAAAATCCCAGATGTATATCGGGTGCCTGTCATCCCATTTAAGCAAGAAGCATAAATAAGTAGTTCAAGCCAACACTGAACATAAATGCAAGACTTTATAAATAATAATAATAATGATAATAAATAATAACAGAAACCAAAAGGGCTGGTGGCATGGCTCATGTGGTAGTATTAGAGCACCAAGTGCAACGCCCTAAGGTCAAACCTTGGTGCCATAACAGAAACAAAAACAAAAACAAACATTCTATTAAACCCATTTCTAGATGTTGTAAGCCTGGACTATTTCAAATCAAGGTGTCGTGCAGGAGTGTGTCCTGAAGGTTCCCTTGTGCCTGTTTTCTAGACTTTGTAAGTCAGGAGTACTTCATAGCAGGGGTGTACCCCAGAGCTTCTTTCTTGTGTCTTTGCAGCTAATTCTCAGAGTCCAGTTCTGCCTTTTCTAAATTTTATGTCTAAATTCAGTTTATTTCCTAGACACGTCTGTCGGTCGAATTCTTCTTGGGTCAACTGGTTCACTGCGTCTTTCAAGGACTGTGTTTCATCAGTCTGTGGAATCTAGTGGAACAAAGTTGCTCGTTAGAGTTACTTTCTACCTTCTTCAGGCATTCCCTCTTTCACTAATTCACTATACATTGATACTTACGTGAAAATTCAAGTGCAAAATAAGTTTTGCATCCTCTTTTTCTTACAAGTTTTAAATTTTGTGTTTTCTCTCTTTAAATGGTTGGCCAGGCATACCTAAAGCAGGGCGGAAAAATGTACTCTTTGATGGACTTAAACACAGTGCCACTCAGCCCTGTGGCCTGGGCCGGAGCTCCAGCCTCCACAGGTCTTCATTCTGTCCTTTGTAAAGTGTGGGTTACAGTCTTCCTGCCCAGGGTGGAGCTCCAGTAAAGGTGCTGGATAGATCTAGAGGGGTGGGAACACTATACTGATAATGGGTGACATGACCATGTACCCCAAAGCCTGTTGTGCAGACTGGAATGGGTTAATGGTTTCAGGACAGCCTGAAGAAGCCTCCAGTTTTCTCAGCAGACTTGGTGTATGTTTCACGTTCTGTACAATTACAATCTTGGATCTGAATATGATGACTGGTGTCTATTATTAGAACATGGTTCGTTCTACATAAAAAATCCTGGCTTTTAGCATAAATAGAGTAAATCAGTAAGAGTATAAACTAAGGATGATACTTGTATCTGAAAGGAAGATTAGAGAGAGAGAGACAAAATTGGACACTAGTAATCCTAGCCACTCAGGAGATCATAGGTCAAAGCCAGCCTAAGTAGAAAAGTCCAAGAACTCCATCTCCAAAATACCCAGCAAAATGCCAAGCTAGAAGTGTGACTTACTTGCCCCCAGCCAAGCAAACAAACCAAGCAAGTACAAAGCCCTATATCCAGACCTCTGTTCAGAGGGGGAATGTATTAAACATTTCTTTCCATGTGTTTCTATATCTTGTTTTCTAAGGACCTTGATTTTCCCACTACTCATCCGAGGAGGGAAGCCGACACTGCTGTTCTCCTATGTGTTGGCATTCATCTTCTGTACCTATAATGGCTACTTGCAGAGCCGGTACCTCAGCCAGTACGCGGTATATCCTGAGCCCTGGGTGACCCACCCCTGGTTTCTAGCAGGTGAGTGTCTTCAGCCATGTGCTCTCTGCCTCTCACAGACCCTGACTGTCATGCCCAGCACGTTCTAGTTAGAAACCCCAAACCATCCAAGGGAGAGAGTAGCAGGGGTCCTGGGCAGCCAGCACCAGCATCAGGCTGCTCTGCTTCAGGGGTCTCCTACACCGGGCACCTTCACACATACCAACCCAGAAGTAGGTCCTGTGCCTGCCCAGGTGGCAGTGAGTGCCACCAGCAGAAGTGGCCAGCTGGAATGGAAAGGCTGCCTTCACCCAGTGCACTTGGGCACCTGTCCACCATGTAATCGAAGAGCCCTTTGGCTTCCTGAACTGCCTTCTGTAACCTGAGAATGAGTAGGAATGGCTCACCCGCCAGCAAGACAGGTAAACTTCTGTGAAAAAGAAATAATACATTTCTGCAAAGTTGTGATTTTTTTAAAAAACCATACCAACGAAGGTGAATTGATATACATTCTCAGGCTCTAACTGTAACCTTGCAGAACACAGTGTTCTTTTGTCCATGGGATCTGAAGAGAAAGAACAGACTTCTGAGTTCTCTGGAGTGCACACTTTGGCCTCACCTTGGTCCTGGAGAGCAGGCCTGGTGCCCTCATTATCATCCTCTGAAAGATTGCACTGACTCTTTGGACCTAGCATCTTAGACCTCGCAGCTCATTATTCGTCATCATCTTTATTTGCCTTTAGGTTTTGTCTTGTGGTTATTGGGCATGGTGATAAACATCCACTCAGACCACATCCTGAGGAATCTCAGAAAACCAGGGGAGACTGGATATAAAATACCCAGGGGTACGTACTGAAAATGAGCACTGTCTGTGTTGCATTGCATCATGCCAGGCTTTGTCAGTTCTCCCAAAGCACAGTACAGTAGTCATTAGTACAAGTGTTCAGGGTGAGTCAGTCTTGTAATTGTTTTCTCAGAATAGAGAAGAACCATTTCTGATGATCAGGGGTAGTTATATATTAAGCACAAAGGCGAATCTGGGTTAGGACATAAATGTTGCACGAGGCACTGCTACTTCTGTTAACAATGTTGTGATAGAAGAAGGTCCTTCCCCGTAACAAGTACAGGAAAATGTTGGGCTGAGTTTTATTTAGGACTTCAGTGTACTATCAAGAAATGAAGTTATTCCTCAGGAGACAAACCATGAGTGAGTGCTAGATACCACCTTCCCTTGTAGAATGTGTGAGCAGTAGAACAAACACATGATGTCTCTTCATTTGGAAACCTCCGTGCAAAAACGACAGCAAAAACAAGTGAACAGAAGCCCTATAAACATCAAGTTATTTCATGTGTGGCTCAGATGGCCTGGAGTCCACAGAGCCATCTCAGTCCTGCCCCGATGGAGGGGCCAGAGAAGAGGAGATCCAAGGAGTTCCGGATAGGCTGCTGATGGCCTATCCAGCCCTGGGAGGTGGAAGAGATGCCCCTCAGGTGCTGGGCCTGTGTGCAGACCTCAGCCTCCTGCAGCTGTCAAGGGAGCCGGACCTCTCAGCACTAGCAGAGTGAGCCATGGTACAGTGGGGCAGGGCATGAACCCTGAGAGGAGAATGGAAGGATCCTGAAAGTTCCAGAAGCTAAAAAAGTGGTGGAGTGAGGAACGCCACATCTGAGACTGAGTGCATGCCAGAAAAGGGAGGAGGGGGTCAGGAGTGGTGACAGGCCCAGGATCCTGTGTGCAGGAACTTCTGTGCTGGACAACAGCCAGCGACAGCCAGACCTCCGGCCCTTTCCCTCTACTCTCTGCTGCCAGGGGCTGATCAGCCTCCTAATTTGACATGTTCAAACCTGGTGAACAAGAAAGAACACATACAAACATCCATAGAGAACATGCAAGCATATAGCGAGAAAGGACAGATTAGCAGCAAAACAAACATTCCTATCTGAGCACAAAGCAGACGAAAATGGGGATCCAACATCCAAACTAAAATGTGAATGGGGCGATCACAGCATTGATACTCAGATGCAGAACATCAGCAAGAGCCCGCTGCCTGCTGCACCCAGGAAGACTGCGCCAGGGGCCTGGCCACAAACAGCCCCAGCCTGCAGTAAGGGATCCACCACCTCCCCAGGCAGCACCTCCTCATGATGGCCCCTGCTGGTGGTGTCCAGTCTGAGCAGATTGAACAGAGATGCATAGGCTGCATGGCTCCCAGACAGCAAGAGATGCCACTGTGGGGAAAACAAGGGGAACCTATAAAGCACAGGGAAGAAACTGTTTCCAAAATTCTTTTTTTTTTTTTGTCGGTTATGGGGCTTGGACTCTAGGCTTGGGCACTGTCCCTCAGCTCTTCAGCTCAAAGCAAGTCCTCTACCAATTGAGCCACAGCACCTCTTCTGTTTATGTGGTGCTGAGGAATTGAACCCAGGGCCTCATGCATGCAAGGCAAGCACTCAGCCACCTTCCCAGCCCCTTTTCTTTTTCATTTTTTGTTTTTCTTTTCTTTCTTTTTTTTTTTTTTGCCAGTCCTGGGGCTTGAATTCTGCACCCAGGCACTGTCCCTGAGCTTCTTTTGCTCAAGGCTAGCACTCTACCACTTGAACCATGGTTCCACATCTGGCTTTTTCTGTTTATGTGGAACTGAGGAATTGAACCCAGGGCTTCATGCATGCTAGGTGAGCACTCCATCATTAAGCTACATTCCCAGTCCTGTTTGCAAAATTCTTGATCAGTAATGCTTCAATAGCACATACACTCACATATACACAAAAACACCAGCCACCTCAGAAAGTGCATGAAAGACAGAAGAAGCCTGAGACTTTTTTTCAGTGATGGCTACAGAGGCCTGGAAATCTATTTTGCATATTAAAGTGCCGAAGGAAAAATCTAAAAATGGGAACAGAACACATAAAAAAAAAAAAAAGCAATTTAAAGCTTTAGAGACATAAACCAGGACTCAAGGCTGCCTTTCGGAAAGGCATCGCATCACATACCATCAGACACTGACATGCAGGGAGTGAGTGGCCAGCCCAGAGGATCTGTAGATTCCATGAAGCCCAGATGGAGGGCGGAGCCAGGACTTTTGCCTCATCCTGTTCCCTTTCCTTTTAAGCTTGCCCTTGATTTCAGAGATGACAGAGAGCATTTGGGCCACATGCTCTGTGAGGGCTCTGCTGAGTTGGGTTTTCAGCTGAACTTCTGAAGATTTCTAGTCAATGTAATCACATTTTTCTAATGTACAAGCATGCCATCTATGCCTGAGACTCTTGTAGAACCACTGCTCAGATCTCCATTCATGATGGAAGTGTTAGTACACAAGGCTAAAGGAATGCAGTTGCCAAGGGAATAGCTAAAAATCCTGGAGAGACAAAGATGGGCATGAGGTGTGCAACTGGCAGTATGTAGACATGCTGATACAACCTTCAGCCCTCAGGGTATGGAAGTTGCATGAGGCAGAAGACATGTGCCAGGAGCTCTGGGTCACAACTCTGTTCACTATTTGGGGTGTTGGGTTTTTTTGTATAATTAAGATAATTATTTTTTATAAAAGGAGTATGGAAAGGACAAGAAAGCTGTTTAAAAGGAAATACCTGCTGAAGTCTTGGGTGTCCTTAAGTCAAAGGAAAAGATTTATTTGATTGGAGTGGTAGAATTTCTTTTCTTTTTTCTCTTTCTTTCCTTTCCTCCCTCCCTTCCTCCTTTCTTCCCTCTCTCCTACCCTACTTCCCTTCCTTTCTGTGCCAATGCTGGGGCTTGAACTCAGAGCCTGGGCTCTCTTGTTTAGCTTTTCCCCTCAAGGCTGTCTTAGCACTTGAGCCATACCTCTACTTTCAGCTTTTTAACTGGTTTATTGGAGATAAGAGTCTCAGACTTTTCTGCTTAGGCTGGCTTCAAACTTCTCAGATGTCAGTTTTCTGAGTATCTAGAATTACAAATGTGTGCAACCTGGCTTTGAATGTCTCTTTTTAGACACCATCTCTAGTTTTGGGGGGCAGAAGTAATGTACAGGGAGAATGACTGCTGGAAAGTATGCTGGATCATCAGAAACCACCTCTGTTCCCTCTCCTACACATCACTGAGTGAGGCAGCCGAAGACCATGGAAATGGTCCTGGGTCCAATTGAGATATGTGATAGGCCCAGGGAGATACCTACATGTGATAGTCCTGGTACCCTTGAGTAGGGGTTGGTGGTCAGAACTCTTATCTGTGGGATAAGAGTTCAACAAGTTCTGGCACTCATTTCCTGTTTCATTTTCAAACTAGCAAATGGTCATTGCTGGATTGGTGTACAGATGAGGCCTGGAGGGTTAGGGAAGGTCCTGTCTGCTGTGGATTGGTGATCAGATGAAGCATGGAAGTTATAGAGGGTCCTGACAGATGTGATGACAGTAGGGCTCATGAGGATGAAGCTGGGTTGTCACACTCCCACAGCTAAGCTAAACTCAAGGATTGTTTTTACACCATTTCAATGTGCTTCAGCGTACATTCTATAAATAATGAGCTTTATTGTGACATTTCCATGCATATGTATTACAGTCTGGTGATGTACCTGTGTGTTGTAATGGGTCTTTTAGGAGATTGGTGACTATGGCTTTTATTAGGTCATGATATGCTCACCACCCTCCCTATGTTTCCAACCAAACACTCTGCCCCCATACAGCTGAGGGGACAGGCCCAGGCAGTGGGGACAGAGGTGTCCCATCACAGCCTCCATTGCCTCCTGTTCTGGGCTGTGTGCCTTAAGGAGATATGGCATTTGTACAGACAGTGCAGAGGCCTTCTTGAGATTCAGCGCCCGGATCCTGAGAGACAGATGATAATGATAATGAAATGTTTTGAGCCCTGGCAGCAATAGGAAAATAAAGATGTGTACCTAGCCGGCCACTGGTGCTCATGCCTGTAATCCTAGCTACTCAGGAGGCTGAGATCTGAGGATCACAGTTCAAAGCCAGCCTGGGCAGGAAAGTCCCTGTGAGATACTTTATCTCCAATAAAACCACCAGAAAACTGGAAGTGGTGCTGTGGCTCACGTGGTAGAGTGCTAGCCTTGAGCTGAAGAGCTGAGGGACAGCACCCAGGCTCAGAGTTCAAGCCCCACAACAGACCAAAAAAAAAAGAAGTGTACCTTCCTTAAACCCTATAGCCCAGGAAGTACTTGGCCTTCAATGTTTGGGGGATACTCCTAAGGGCACAGGTAACACACCTTTTATAAGAATGATACATTTATTATGCAATGTATGTGATGTTTTTATAGCTTATCTGATTATAAGTTAACTTGTCAGTGAGCACTGGCATTGTGTTTTGATTGTGCATTACTTGAAGCTCATAGAAAAGAAAAGGACATGATAGGACTGCCCACCTCCTTCACATGATAAAAAGCAAAACAGCTTCTTCTCCTTTCCCTCCCCTTTCCTTTTCTATTTCTTGTGATTAGTCAACCACCTCACCTCTGGCCAGAGCCCTTGAGTGCTTGGGTTGCCGTGAGGGTAGAGATAGAAGCTCTGCACACTGCAGGAGCAGGTCTTGAAACTGTGTTTATACCTTGAACAATGACTACTTTTATACCTTGAAGAGTGATCACTTTTATACCTTGAAGGATAGTCACTTTTCTACTTTGAAGAGTGATCACTTTTATATATTGAAGGCTAATCAACTTTTATAACTTGAAGGATGATCACTTTTATACCTTGCAGGTTTATCACTTTTATACCTTGAAGAGTTATCACTTTTATACCTTAATGGGTGATCACTTTTATAACTTGCCAGTTCTCAGCTGGGCAGACCAAGTCGAGTTGGAACTCAAAGACCTCATGCTGACCATTGCTGTTCAGCCTCTGCATCTCTGATACCCATTCAAGATGCTCACCTGAAACCTGGACTGGCCCCTCACCCTCTCAGCCCTGTTCCCTGCCTAGGATCTCCTCCCTGTGCCCCACCCCAATCCTGTCCTGCCCCTCCCCCCTCCACACTTGTTTGTTACTCTGGAATTTATTGTTCTAGATAGGGACTGGTCTGTCAGAGTGCCTACAGCATTGATGAGCTTTGATTAGTGAACAAATGAATTCACATTTGAGAAAGGGCATTTTCTTTCTGGTTGGATTGTGTGACTAAGCTAAGTGATTGTTACTGCTTACTGGAGTTCCCCCATGCCTACTTAGTTATGTCCACCCAACCCATAACCAGTGGAGTGGCTCACTCTGCAGATGTGTATATCTGATAAACAGATGGCATTGGCACAGCGTCCCCTGGGGTTGTGCTCTGAAGCCATAATGGGGTATATATGGCATTGATGAACATTTCCATTGTTTTTCCATAGTTGGATTTAGTTTTTCCTAGTAGATACTACTGTGTCTCAAGTCAGAATTAATTTGGTGTTGCCTTATAATAAATGCACTGTCCTGCTCTGTTTTTGTCTAGGAGGCTTGTTTGAATATGTCACTGCAGCCAATTATTTTGGGGAAGTCATAGAGTGGAGCGGCTTTGCACTGGCCAGCTGGTCTCTCCAAGGCGGGGTGTTTGCTCTCTTCACATTTTGTATTCTAATCACCAGAGCAAAACAGCATCACCAGTAAGTTGCAAAACTCTTAAACTTTATTCTTTGACTTTAGAATAACATTTTTCAGGGTTTTTTGTTTTATTTTGATTTTGTCAGTCATGGGGCTTGAACTCAAGGCCTAGAATATTCCCTGAACTTTCTGCTCAATGCTAGCACTCTACTACTTTAAGCCACAGCTCTATTTCTGGTTTTCTGGTGATTCATTGGAGATAAGTGTCTCACAGACTTTCCTGCTGGGCTGGCTTTGAACCATGATCCTCAGATCTCAGCCTTCTGAATAGCTAGGATTACAGGCATGAGCCACCAGCACCAGACTGTAAAATTTTGATGTTAATATTAACTTGATTTGCTGAATCCCAATGTATGTCTTGCTTTAGCAAAAGCCAAGTGATACACCCCTGCATGGTGCCAGAAAAGGCATCCTCCATGCTGCTTTTCTCTACCACATCTCTGGCAGTGAGCCTGGGCTGCAGGAGGCTGTGGCCAACTTCACCACTGAGCAGGGGTTTGGGTGTGTAGTGGGGACAGTGACTAAAACTGAGAGTATTGGAGCAACCACGGCAAGGTTGTGAATACTGTGCACAGTGGATGCTGGGATGGGAGTGAATCCCAGAGTCACATTGGGCTCCTCCCTCTCCAGCATCATCCACACATGTCTTCTACACATCACCACAGATGTGGATGCTGTAAACATACAGAAATACATGAAGCCACTGCAGGAAACAGGACAGAGAGAAAGCTAAAAGGGGGACATGCTGATGTCATGATACAAAAATGTCTAGCAGTCAGAACACCCACACAGCTTCCTATACTGAGAGATTTCATGGATTACTGTTGGTGGTGAGGGGAAAGACTGGGGCTGCCGTGTCCAGGTGGCTACTCTTGGGAGGAGCTGTACACGGTGTGGTAACTGCTGAGAGTTGTAGGAGGAGCACCTGCATCTGTTGCCATTTTACCAGTGAGCTTGATGTCTTCACACATACAGATGTTAGAAAGCTGAGCTCCTGGGAGAGATGGAGAAGTACAAAGAAAGATGAGCATGGGCCTAGGACAAGGATGATGCAGAAAAGGACCTGTACTGTTGAGAGCACATGGCTGGGAATTGTACAGCAGTTTCTGAATTGCCTCTCCCAGAAGGAAAGGATAAAGTTCTAATCCCTGATCCTGGTGCCTGGCCCTTACTCAAAGTGGGATTGTTCCAGAGGCAACCAGCTAACTTGAGGTCATAGGGATGTAGAATGGGCTGGATCCAATATGACTGACAGCTTATAGAAAAGAGTAGCTCACTCCTGCAACCCTAGCTACTCAGGAGACAGAGATCTAAGGATTGTGGTTCAAAGCCAGCCTGGGCAGAAAAGTCCATAAGACTCTTCTCTCCAATTGACCAGCAAAAAGCTGCAAATAGAGGTATGGCTCGTGTGGTAAAGGATCAGCCTTGAGCATAAAACCTAACGGGTAGCACTCAGGCCCTGAGTTCAAGCCCCTGTAAAGAGGAAAATGAAAGATGCACATCCACAGAGAAGAAGGCCTTGGGAGACACAGAAATGGAGAAGGCAGACTCTAGAGAGGTACAGCCTCAAGCCAGAAATGCCTGGCAGGAGCCAGAGGAGATGCCCCAAGTCTTCAGGGGCGTGGCTCTGCTGTGCCTGTAAACAAGATCCATTGCAATTGTGTTCCCACACCCAATTCATGAAGCTTTCTCCAGATTTCTGCTGATTTCAATTGACTTCACCTTTAAAAGTAATACAGTGAGTTTGACTTTTGAAAACCTCTGATTTTTTCTTCGCCCAATGATTTTGTAGAAAATTTGGTTGAAATAATGCCTTGCTACTTTGAACTAAACATAGACAGCCAAGTGTTCTAAAATGAACAGAGCTATGCTGGGCTGCATGCTGTGTCAGTGCTGAGAGCAAAGCCAGGTGTCGGGACTCCTGTATTCCAAGGTATCCAGATTCTCCCTCCAGCATTGAGCCAGCCCCAGGCCTCTCATGTACAAGGACCTGGTCCCTTCTGTGTCTGTCATCACCTCCAGGAAGATACTGGTCTTAACATTTGCTTGCAGTATTTGATATGGAAAAGCAAATAATGGCCTGTTTCTAGTAAAAGATAAAAAACGTAGGCTTTTTTAGTATTTGGATTCGAGGAAAACTGAATGAGAGCCCACAAATCTGTTGTAAAGCTATTTTGTCTAACAGAAACAGGGAACAGGAAAATCCCTTTCAACAGTGGCATATGAAACATTCAGAAATAGAAATAAGTAATTCCATTTTCCAAGTGCAAGTCTTTGTTGATGAAAACTCAAAGATATTATTTCCAAGATTCATGAGTTAAAAGGCTGTTTGTCATTCACTTACTATTTAAATTACTATGAATGTGAAACAGATTTGAAATCTTGAAGAATTTGGTTTTGTGGAAATATCTTCAGGAATGTTGGGAGTATATTCTGAGAACAAAATTAAAAACTTCTTTTTTTAGAGTTTCTTTTTTTCTCTTCTCTTTTCTCCTTTTTTTTTTTTTTTGTTCTTTTTGTTTGAGATGAGGTTTCACAGTTACCCAGAATGGCCTCAAACCCACCATCCTCCTCCCTCAGCTTCCCCAGTAGCTAAGATTCTAGACATGAGCATTGCCCCTGGCTTGTCCTGGTTTTCATCCAGTAAACCCAACTAATTAAACAATCAAATAAGTTGATTATAAAGAGGACATTCCACGGAACCATTTCTGGACCTATATTTATTGTAATATCCTTAAAACAATATTGCATGCCAATGGCATTTTTTTCTGTAATCATTGGTGCCGTAATCATAAGTGGCTGTTGGTAGTTAAGCTGGAGGCTGGAAAGACTGGAGCAGCTGTAAGGCTGCTGAAACATGTTCTCTGCAGAAGGCAGAATTCTGAGGCAGTGTGGCTGTCACCTGGAGCAGCCACACTTGCCACTTGGAGCAGCGTGTGGTGTGGCCGTGCAGCTCTGTGGGAAGTGACAGACTGGCACAGCTGTGGGCATGCTCCCAGTGTGGGCTTGAACCAGGAAGCCAGCCACAGAAGTATAAATCTATGTAAAGCATGCATGTATATGTGTGTGCACACACGTGTGTGTGGAGTAATGCTCACCTATTAAGTTTAAGGTCATTTGAAAAATGAATTGGTGTGACTTCTAGACACTATAACTTGCCTGGGTTATGAGCATGGAGTATGTTTGTGGAATGCTTTAGGTTCCCAGCCCCTGTTCCTGATCTCTGATGGTTTATGACATGGAAAACACTGACTTGGTCTGGTCAGTGACCAATGAGGTCACAGATAAGCCCATGAGGAAGACTTAGGTCAGAGAACGTGGGAGTGCTGGGCTGTCTGGGAGTCATAAAGCAACAATGCCTTCAGGAATGGAAGCACAATCCCAGCATAATCCAAACGTAAAGAGAAGCAGTGGAACACAAGCTCGGGCTTGTAGGTCATAAAACCTAGACAAAAATGAGTTACAGAGTGAGCCTTGTGCAGGCCACATAAGTGAGAACTTCCATTCTAGGAGAGAAAAAGAAGATAAAGCATGTTGTTTTCCCTTTCAAAATGGGTTCCTTTTGTTGGTGGTGGTAGTGGTGGTGGTCATGGGTTGTGGGTCTTGAACTCTGGGCCTGGGTGCTGTCCCTTAGCTCTTCAGCTCAAGGCAAGCACTCTACCACTTGAGCCACAGCACAACTCCCAGTTTCTGGTGATTTATTGGAGATAAGAGTCTCACCAACTTTCCTGACCAGGCTGGCTTTGAACCGAGATCCTCAGATCTCAGCCTCCTGAGTAGCTAGGATGACAGGTGTGAGTCACCAGCACGTGGCTAAAATGGATTCCTATTAATCTCAAAACATAACTTTTAGAGGTGATGCTGATCAAGATGTATTGCACACATAAGTTGATGTGTTGAGTTGAAGCCCTTTTTAAGATTTTAAAGATAAAAACATACACATGCACATATATATGTATTGTGTGTGTGTGTGTGTGTGTGTGTGTGTTCTAGGCTTGAACTCAGTGCCTGCACACTGTTACTGAGTTTTTATTCTCAGGGCCAGCACTCTACCCCTTGAGCCACACCTCCATTTTTGCTATTTGGGGTAGTTAAAGATAAGACTCTATGGACTTTCCCATCCCTGATGGCTGTGATCCTTAGATCTCAGCCTCCTGAATAACTAGGATTACAGGTATGAACCACTAGTGGCTTGCTTTGTTTTTAATTTTTATTCTTTATTGTCATCATAAAGGTGATGTATAAAGGGGTTACAGTTATTGGTTATTTTTTAAACAAATACTAGAAGGCTTTATTGACTTGAGAAACATATAGGTTAAATATAGTTATATAATTTTTATTAATATATATTTTATTGTAAAGATACTGCACAGAGGGGTTACGGTTACATGAGTAAGGTAATGAGTACATTTCCTATTGAGCATTGTTACCCCCCACTTTGTTTTTCTACTACCATCCCTTCCCTCCCCACCTCCCTAAATCCTCCCTTGCCCTCCCAAGTTGTAAAGTTTGTTTTCAACATAGTGTCTTGTACATCTCATTGTTACAGTGGGTCAGCCAATGAAATGAACCTCAAGATAGGGATACAAGAGGTTTTATCTTTCTTCTGTTGTTTTTAATATATTTATAATGTGCCACATGATATTTTTGTTTCTTTTGTTCTTCCCCCATGGTATAACCCCTGTTGTCACGTATTTGATTCCGATGTCATGCATCTTGTATATACATTTTTCTAATTTAGGGAGGGGGAGGGTTATTTTTCTTTTTAAGGTGACTTTTCAGTGCTGAAGATCAAACTCCGTATCTTGCATGGGCAAGGCAATCTCTGAGTCCCTGAACCCCAGTCCCAGACCTTAAAACACCAGTCACTGGGGGTGGATGTGCAATTGTAGCAACCCCACAAGAAAATTTTGATGACTTAACAAATTCCATTTCATTCCTATACAATGGTGGCTGTGAAATTCAACTCACTGGGTGAACCATGCCTTTCCCAGAGAGCCCAGCTGCTCTCTAGAGCTGCGTGAGAAAAGTTCCAGGGCACCCCACGCGATGCTGGCCATGCAGCTTCCCATGTGCTCTGTCTTGGCTGACCCCACTGTCTGCTGGGCTCTGCCTCTACTCTTCCAGGGCTATAGTTTCATTTTCCATGGGCAGCTAGCTCATCCGAGAGAGACACCAACCTACCCCTGCAGGTGCCTGCCCGGCCGCCTGTGCACAGCTCTTAGCAAGGTGCTGTGCTGACTGGCTGGGTGTCCCGCAGGGCTGCAGCAACTTTCAGTACCTGCCCATTAAACATGATCACGGCACACGTCCTCCTACCCAGCCCCTCGACTGACCTCACTGTCCCTGGGCCTCCCTCACCTGGCCCGTCATGTCCGACCCAGGGGCCCTCGCTTCTTGGGAAGGAAGGGGTGGGATTTTTTCCAGGTCTTAGTGCTACACAGACCAGCGGAAGGAAAGGAGAATGGTTCTAAGAGTCTGCCGTGGCGTAGTTCTGTGCGCGTGAGTTACAGTGCTAAACCCATCCAGTATCGGCAGGATTTTACAGCTGCTTCTTCTGTTTGTGGTCCTCATGTGTTTCTTCCCCATGAACAAGCAGCTGCTTGTTTTCTGTTGTGGTTTTTAGTCTCATAGCTGTCATTCGTGGCCTATGGACACTCCTTGTTTGTTTTGTTTTGTTCTCTTGAGCTGGGGATCTGACCATGGGACTGCACTGAGCACTTCCGTGTCTGATCTCAGAGTACTTTTGGTATTTATTTCACCAACTTAGTTGCCAGCCTTTTCAACTGGCAGATTGAACTCCAGATTGAATGTACTATGTTTTTTTTTTTTTTTGTTTTGTTTTGTTTTGTTTTGTTTGTCGTCAGTCGTGGGGCTTGAACTCTGGGCCTGGGTGTTGTCCCTGCACTCTTCAGCTCAAGGCAAGTGCTATACTACTTGAGCCACAGCACCGCTTCTGGTTTTCTGGAGGTTTATTGGAGATAAGAGTCTCATGGATAGCTGAATGCCGGTGGCTCATACCTGTAATCCTAGCTACTCAGGAGGCTGAGATCTGAAGATCACAGTTCCAAGCCAGCCCAGGCAGGAAAGTCCATGAGACTCTTATCTCCAATAAACCACTAGAAAACCAGAAGCGGCACAGTGGCTCAAGTGGTAGAGCACTCGCCTTGAGCTGAAGAGCTGAGGGACAGTGCCCAGGCCCAGAGTTCAAGACCCATCACCGACCAAAAAAAAAAAAAAGTCTCATGGACTTGCTGCCCAGGCTGGCTTTGAACTGCGATCCTCAGATCTCAGCCTCCTGAATAGCTGGGATGACAGGCGTGAGCCACTGGCACCAAGCTGAATGTAAGCATCTTTATTAATATAATTCATCAAAATTGAAAATTTTGTCCATTTTGAGCTAAGGGTTGAATTCTGGGTGGCACCAGATTACACTGAAGCCGGTCCTTAGGGGCACCCATGAGCCTGGTACCCCGCCGGCCATCCTCCCGATGACAGCTGAGCTTCTCCATGGGGCTTGGTGAGGACTTGCAGGGTCCTCAGAAGGCATCCAAGACACATCTGCCCATCTCATTCGGCCCCATCTTCATCCTGTCCTGCCAGAGGAGGGCCTGGCCTGTGTGACCAATGATTGTATCATGTCAGCATCGTCCCTTCCCAGTGGAAAGCGAATCACCGGATTGCCCCTTCTGTTTCATTTTAGGTGTGTGGAGTTATTCATGATACAGATGAAACTAATGCCCGCATGAAATGTCAAAGCCCTTAATACTGCACTTAAAAACCTAAAAGGCCAGGTGCAGTGGCGCAAGCCTGTAGGACAAGATCCATGGGGCTGTGGTGGTTCGAGGCCAGCATAAAAGTTTGTGAGACTCCCATCTCAACCAGTGGCCAGACGTGGTGGTGCATGCCCGCTGTCTCAGCTATGGGGGGCCTAGAGGGCTGGGGTGGTGGCTGGCGTGCTCCCATCACCCAGCAACATGGAGGAAGCACTGGTACGTATATCCCAGACATAAAGCGAGCCGGGCCTAGAAGACAAGCAGCGCCAAGAGGGACTTGAGGAAGGACTCAGGCGGCTGCCCGACAAGGGCAGGGCCCTGAGTCCAATCGCAGCACCACAAGAACACAAACACCTCCTCATCTCCTTATAATGGAAAATACATTAGGTAAACGTGTGCCTTATTGAGTTTCTTTTCTTATTTCAGGTGGTACCTGGAGAAGTTTGAAGATTACCCGAAGTCTAGAAAAATCATGATTCCCTTTGTGTATTAGGTTGACTGTGGGCAAGATGGCCTTCAGCTGGGAGCTGTGCGGGGCAGCCCCATACTTCCCTCTCCCCTTTCTCTGCCCCCCACTGCCCTCTCCCCCTTCCCTGCTGTTTCCAGGACTCCCTGCTGCAGGGTGGTTTCTTCCTAGTAAATTTACAAGGCACTTAGTTAAAGGCTAATCAGACTGCACTTCAGGTGGAGGATGCCCGCCAGGTCAGGCAGGATTCTCCAGCTCTCTAGGTTAAAATTCACCTCTGAGCTGTGGCGGCTCACTCTGTAGGACTGGGATCTATCGCGGAAGGACACGTTTCACTTCCACTGTCCTGAGGCAGTCCTGTCTGCAAGGTCAATGGCAGCACACCCCTCCTCCAGGACTCCCTAGAGGCCCTGGCTGGCCCAGGCTGGCCCCAGCTGGCCCCAGCGATCTTGTTCTGTACCTGCTATGTGGGTGAACTTGCTGATACGGAAGGGAGCTGCTGCTCATGGGGGCTGGGCGAAGGTGTCTAGCTGTTGGCCTCTCCCAGCTTTTGCCCAGCCCAGCTTGCTAGATGAGCTGAAGGACAGAGAGGGGCCACTGACTGCCTCTAAAGAACAGGGGCCCTATACCTGCTCAAGACCTTCCCACCCCAAGATTTTTGAGATTAGATAGCTGGATGCCGGGCAGATGGAGAGGAGAGGAGCAGGAGCGCTTGTCTGCGGTGGCGCTTTCTTCGTGAGCTGTGAGGTTTTCTCAAGGCTTTTCTTGTTTCTCTTAATCTAAGCTGCTTTGCATTGTGAGGATTTCCTGGTTCTCAGTTTTTAAATTCCTACTTTTTCTTTACTTTTATTCTTCTGGCCTTGGTTACTTCTTTTTGTTTATCAGTGCTTGAAAAGAAAGCTGAATTCGTTTGTTCTTAGCAAGTACGAGTTCAGGTGTAAGGCCAGGTGTTCCTTAACTTTAATAATGAGCTTATAATTATCTGAATTATCTCTTAGGCTTTCTTTGAGCTAGAGATTTTGAGGGAAATAATTTATCTTTAAGATGATGTTTTCTACTTTTCACCCACTTGGAAGATCTTATTGAAAGGTTTTATTGTTCTACTTCTGATGTGTGGATAGAGATTATTTTCTATGAATTTTCTTCCCTGTGGATTTTAAGTTTTCTCGAAATCCTAGAGAATGGTCATCTTGGACAAGTATGGTGGGTCATGCCTGTAACCCCAGCTACTTGGGAGGCAGAATAGGAATCTATTGTGAGCTGAAGCCAGCTGGGGTGACTCAAAAACCAAGCTGGAGTGGACCAGTTATGAGGGAGGCTGATGGAGGAGGATCACAATCTGAGGCTAATCCTGGTCTCAGGCAAGAAAATGAGAACCCCTAAAACACAAAAACCAAAGGCCTAAGAATATGAGGCTCAAGTAGCAGAGCAGTTCAGTATAATTCTTCAGTTCACTTCTCAGTACCACAAAACAAAGAAGAAAAAGGAAGAGGGAACACGTTTTATAACCTTAACAAGACCACTCTGTGTGTGTGTGTGTGTGTGTGTGTGTGTGTGGGCGCGCGCGTGCGCGCGCGACAGTCTTAGGGCTCTATCCCTGAGCCTCTTTGTATTCGAGGCTAATGCTCTACAACTTGAGCCACAGTGCCACTTCCAGCTTTTTCTGTGTAGTTTATTGGAGATAAGAGTCTTACAGACTTTCCTGCCTGGGCTGGCTCTGAACCATGATCCTCAGAGCTCAACCTCCTGAGTAGCTGGGATTACAGGTGTGAGTAGTAGAATCCTCTTCTGTTAAGTTCCTTATCTGCCTTCCTCCTCCCCTTTTACATTATTGGAACCGGTTTCACTATTCTGGTCTCATACATGTGTATAAAGTACTTGATCATTTTCACCCCTCTTTGCCCTCTCCTACCCCCCGCCCCCACCCCCACACACCTTACACAGCTGTCATTCAGGCTTTAAGAGTCTACTTCCCACTTGACAACATGCAATGTTTGTCTTTTTAAATCTGGGGTACTTTACTGAATACGATGATCTCCAGTTCCACCTATGTTTCCTTCAAGCAAATCAATGTCATTCTTCCTTGTGTACATGATCCACATTTTCTTTATTCATTCACCAGTTGATAGGGATGATGCCTCAGTTTGACTATTGGGAATAATGCTGCAATAAACATAGCTGTTATTTTAAAATTCTCTGCAGTGTTACTTTTCTTTTGTATGTAATTTTTATTGTATTTCTAAGAGTTCTTGCCTCGTTTGATGCTGTTACTTGTAAAACTTCACGCCTTATCATTGGTACTAGCTCTCAAAATCATTTTCCTGTTGGCTAATTTGAATTTTACTTCAATGAGAATATTGGCATACTGCTTATTTTTGGTTTGTATTTTGAGACCATGTCTCAAAAGGTGCTTGTCAGAGGCAGCCCTGCAACTCGATATGCAGTCCAAGCTGACCTCTGGCCACTGAACCTCCTGCTGAGATTACCAGCATTGGTACCACACCCAGCTGCAGTTTTATTTTTGTCCATCTGACAATCATTTTCTGTTTCTTTGCTTTTGAATATTTTAATGACATTTATTCTGGTTGTCTTTAACAACATAATAAATAGATTTTTCAATTTAGTGAGTTGGTGTGAATTATTTTTCTAATCGTTATTGTGAATTTGGGTTTTTTCTTTGTTGGGCTGGTTTGGGGTTTAGGGGGAGGCACAGTCTTGCTATGTAGTCCAGGATGGCCTTGAACTCAAGATCCTCCTCTTTCAATCTCCAGAGTGATGGAATTACAGGGGTGTGTGTGTGTATGTGTGTGACTTCACTTGGCTGTGAAATGTTCTTTATCCTTTTGATTATTTTTGAAACTTCTTTCCTTTACTATCTCGAGTGATTTGAGAAGGAAACTTGTGCTCTAAAAGTAAAACTTCCTGAAACTGGCGCCTGTGGTTTTAGGTGTGCCACTGAAAGCAGGTAGCTCGTGTTGGACTTGCCGTACGTGTCCAGTGACCACGTGTTCCCACTATGCTCCTTCCCAGTCCCTGTGGAAGGTACGGAAAGGGAGCTAGGCAGAGGATGAGAGTGGGGCCCTTGCAGGTGAGCCTTGGTGGGGCGGCGTCATGGAGCAGGTCCGGGAGCCAGCAGGCCCTGACTAGGAGACAGAGGCCACTGAGCCTCTCAGCACAACAACCACGTGGTCACTGGTGCACAGAGCAGGAGACAGTGCTTCTCATTCCTGCCCCCTTCAGGGGCTCAGAGAACCACAGACTTGTGGTGGTTTAACTTACAGGGAAAAGCCAGAAGAGGAATGTGGGCATCTTTCCTAAAAAGCAGCAAGATCTCAGGACAAGACAGACACCTGCATGTCGACTTTGGGGAGTTCTGTGGCACAAAAGCAGGGCTGCTTGGGATTTGCCTGATGCCCCAGAATTGTGGGAGCTACTCCTTTTGAATGGTCCCTTTCTTAAAGCCTGAACTGAGACCAAGAATCACTGGATCCTTCAACATCCAGAAGAAAATGAACGCCTCTGGGGGAAGCTGCACTCTAAGATGAGATGGAGTTGGTTTTTGCTCTTTCTTTAATTTGGCTCCACGGGGTTGGAGTGCTGACAGCTGATTCCCATTGTCCCGAGCAGTGGGTGAAGCAGGAATACTCAGCACACAGAGACACGGGACAGGGCGGCCATGTCTCTCTACAAGTCTATCCAATGAAGATTTGCTATCTATGATAGCCAAAGAACTCTGAAAGTTCAGAAAATGTAGATTTAATAGCCAAAAGACCTGAGTAGACACCTCATCGGAGTCCTCCCTCCCAGGTGGCAAATTAGCACACACCAGGATACTTCGTCTCTTTTAGTTGTCCAAGAAATATCCAACTAAGCCAGGAGCCACCAGTTCACACCAGGCAGCCCTTCACAAAACTCTGGGTGCTGTTTTAAAACCTACCAAAACTTGTCCTGCCAAATAGTCAACTGAGACACAATAAAAAAAAAAAGGTATAGAGTTTATTTAAGCAATCAGCAGTTCCCGAGTTGGGCAGTGCTGGACCAGAAGTGCGGCTCAGGCAGTCCACAGAGGGGGAAAGGTGGCTGGACACAAAAGCAAGGCAGAAGGGTGTGTCCTGTCATGGCTGCCTTGTGCAGACACCCCATTGGGAAGTCCCTGCCATGGGAGCCCGCATAGATGAAAGAAATCAAGTGGCATTCCACTGATGTGTGCAGATAGAGCTAGGCTGAGGTCACCTGGGCTTAGCTGGCTTGTGTGGCTGGGGTTCTCCGATTCTAGATGTCAACAGAAGAGCCTACTGCCCACTGCATCCATGGAGAAACTGCACACTCAGATGCTGGAACTTCACACTGCACTGCGGGTGCTGGTACCGTTTTCCCCAGACCACCACCCAACTTCCACTAAAGACAATGCACATTTCACTTGGGCACTTGAGTTGAGCTTTTGGAGGCACTGAGAGGATCACCATCTCATCGACCTTGCTTTGTGAGCACTGTTTGCTTTTGGGAGACAGAGTTTCACAACACGAAGGGCAGGGGAGCTCTTAGCAGGTCATGTGATTGCGACACAACTGATGTGAACAGGCACGGAACAAGGTGTTTTTGAAATGCCCTTTGGGGTTTTATTTGTTTGGTTGTTTTGACCACAAACTATGTGCAAGGAAAGCAAGCTTGCAGTAGTCTCCATTTTCCAAACAATACTCAGGCAAAACTTCCTTCTTGCCACTATTGCAATAAATTCACTCATAATAGCCTAAAACCCAGAGAAGTACTGGCTTGCTCAAAACCATGGTCCTCCAGAAAAACCTCATACCTGGTTGGCAAAACAAAACAAGAAACAAACAACAAAAACCCTGGTAACTGGGAATACAATGTTTACTCAATAAAATATGATAAATGTGGGTTGTCCCTCTTATCCATGCTTTTGCTTTTCCAGAGTTTCAGTGAACTCTGTGGCAATTCCACAGAGTTCCACAATTGCTCTGTGGCAATTCCAAAGGCGATTCACAAGTCGGAGGTCGTATGTGAGGAAATGTCTCTCCCTCCTCGGACATGGGTTTCCCCTTTGTCCGGCAGTCTTGTCTTTAAGCTACCCACCCACGTGTCATCTGGCAGTCCCCCACGTTCATCAGCTCAATCGCAGTGGTATGAGCCTCAGTGCTGTGTTCAGATATCCCCCACTTTACTTCATCATGTCCCCAGACACAAGAGTAATGATGCTGGCAATTGTCTTACCACTATTGTCAGAACTGATCAGCTATTCTACTATGTCTAGAGATGTAGCGAGTCACGCGGGCTCTCTGGGGTTTAGTTCTCCCATGGTTTCAGGCAACCTCAGGTACCCCGCATTGTTAAGGAGCGGCTGTTTAAAAAAAAATCTTCAAGGATGTATGCCTTCCCATCATCACAGCAGAAGACAGTTGAGCAATTTTCTATTTCAGATTTCCTCACAAAATTGCCACCTGACACCCAGGAACAAAGTCTGCAGGAATAAAAATCACCACGGTCTCAGGCTAAGCAGCAGGTTCATCTTCAGCAAACACAGGCGGCTGGAGTCAGCAAATCAAACTGTTGGGGTATGAACTGGTTGTATGCTAAGTATGTATGTGGACTTTGTGATTCATTCGTACAGGAAATAAATGGCCGTCATGAGACTTCTTCAATCGGTGTTCAAAGGTTTATTCCTTCCATTTTTGGCAGCAAATCCTTCTCTGTTTAGAAACTCACACCCAGGAAGCTCTAGCATTTTCCATGGTGTCACCAGAATAGTGTGCTCATGGTGTTGCAAGTGGTACATGCTCCACCAGGGCCGGCTGGCTCTCCGGGAGCCTGGGCCCCGGGTTCCACCCAGTAGCCTGGGCCCCGGGTTCCACGCGGCGGACTCTCTATGAGCAGGGGAGCGCTCAGGAAGCTGCCATGGTTCATGCTGGGTGGCACTTCTTCAGCTCGAGTTGGCGGGAGACCAGCAGCATGTTGACACAGCATGACAGACATGGTAGTGCATGCTGTAAGACCTGCTAGGGAGCCCAGGACCCCGCCAGGGCTCAGAACACCTTTGCTCAATAATCATAGTACAAGCCCATCTTGCTTCTCACTCACAACCAGAAAACAAGATGAAAAAGGGAGCTCTGTGCTTCAGGGAAACTCTTCCAGAGAGGGAGCCTGGGGTTTGGACCTGGGGAAGAAGCCTGCAATGTGTGCATGTGGGCAGGAGCGGCTGGATGAGCAAGCACTTGGCTCCTAGCATCTCCGGCAAGGGCTGTTCATGTCCACATGCCTAATGCAGTTGGCCTGTGTGCTATCAGATCCGGAACACTACTGTAACCAGTCATGAGTGGGTGCACAAGGCAGCCCATGGAGGCTCCCTTCAGGAGGTAAAAGCAACTTCCAACAACTGAAGCCCCCCCAGGTCAGTTTGAGGTGCTGCCCTCAGAGACCACCACGTGGGCTACACTTTGTCCCCAGCCTTCCAGACCTGCGTCTACTGTCCGGCAGGAAGACCACAGACAGCAGCCGCCCTGGCCACAACTCAAATCCAACGGGATCGTTTCTTGTTCTGCCTGTCTCCTCCT